ACGGTTTTAGAAAAAATGGTAAAATAACTGAATTGGTTGTCGTGTTGAAATATCTAGGTTATTAACATTTCAACCTGTGTGTGTTCAATTGTGTCTGTGTTTGGCATATCCATTTTGTTACGAAAACTCATACAAACAACCCTTCTGGCTTATTTGAGTCTATCACAGGAAAAAATCAAAGTTAATGATACCGAAGGGAATTAATATGTACTGTGCAAAAAATGGATGAAAAAAATATATAAATAAATCAATTATAAAAATTAAACAACAGAATGGGAAGAACTCGTTTTTTGCAAGGCATTTGTTTTTTTAACCGACTTCAATAAGGAGGAGGTTTTCAATTCGGATCTTTAATTTTTTATTTATGTATGTTCGGGCATAACTCCATCATTTACAGACGGATTTGCAAAATACTTGTTTTTGTTCGAAAGTGGGTTATGCGTTTTGGAGACAGACAACGGAACTCTTCAAAAAACGCCAGCAAATGAACCGTGATATGTTATGTATGTAGTATTGTTTGAAATTTTTTTTAAATTATTTATTGTTAATGTATTTATTGAACTTGTTTAAAGTTCTTTGTTTTATGGGTTTCTTAAAAAAATATTTACAAAACTAAGAAATAAACTCTCCCACTTCTCATCCATATTTTTGAATCAATTGCGCAGTATTCGTGAAAACTGGTAACATAATATCTCTCGCAACAATAACACGTTTGTAATTTCCGACGAAACAATAATCAAGAACAATGTAACGACAAACACGGCTACCGCTGTGAAACTCAATGATATTGACGCAACGGGAGGTAATTGGCGCCTTCACCGCGCCTTCATTCATATTGATCATCGAATAATCGATACAACAGCCTTTAAAAGTATGATGCACCGTTCTATTGTCGGATCTCTTTGTTACATATCTAATCATGTTTACGGAAGAAAAAACCTTATTTCCTTTTGTTGTGAGAGACAAACAATAAACAATTTTACTTTTTCGTCAGATATTTTATTGAACGTATAAAGTATTGCAAAGGTTTTGACCGGCGTCACTGGCGATATGGTTAAAATCGTAGCCTCGTCATTAAGGCTCCACCTACCATTAAGAGGTCACCAAACGTATTGTCTAGAGTTTGAGTGCTCTTTGTGTCTATTTTTTGAATAATTGTAAAGTCCCACATGACAGAAGTATTATACCTAATGCGGGGAGTTGTTCTTTGAAACAGAAAAAAGATACAAAAGATAAACAAGAACAACGCCATAAATAAACCTGATGCTACCATCAGGTTGAACCTGTAAACAGGAAGTTGCAGATTCTAACTATCTTCACATAGTATGAAATAAAATCGCTTTCTTATGTTGGAAGCTATTTTAAACAATACAATATTATTCCTTATCCAATTAAATACGTTAGATAAGTTGTGCATTTAATGTAGATTAAAATTTCTTGCATCAACTTATCATTAAAATGAATACTTTTAAAGAAATTAGAGGTTTAAAATGCGGGGGCCCAACGACCGTCGAGTCGTAGTGACATTAGTATCTACATTGGACCCGTTCGAAGCCGGGGCGGATCGCTTGTATGTTGTAAGCCATTGGGATAACATAGCACTAGGTTCATATAACTTGTTAAAAATAATACTAAGTACTACCACGTAAAATTCATTTTCCATTGGCACAAAATAATGCATTAAAAATCAACGTACACCACTCCAAAATCGTAGAAAGTTTCGTATAGAAAAATATAATTAGTATTCTAATAGTTTTACACTAACTTACAACTACGTATAGACAAGCGTACGATTTTTTTATGAATATTTTAATACTGAAATTTGTAATATGCCCAGTTGTTAGCGGGTAACACCTTATTACACTAAAGAGCTCGAGAATCAGATGTTCGACATTCGAAGTGAATATAGATACACATTACAACGAAGCCCGAACATCTGTTTTTGAGCACATCAGAGCGGTCAAGTTAGCAGATAGTTTAATCTAGATGTGTCCTAAATTTTCAATATGTTCTCTTTTCACGGCTTCATATTGTTCTACTGGATGCCACTCACAAAATGCAGCAGTAGATTATTATCAATGGGCGCAATAACTTTAAACGAGCAATTTTAGTGTGCTCTATGAAAGCTTTATAAAAGTGATTTAACGATCAAAATTTTGTTTTTGGATGAGGTGTCTAATTTCGAGTACCGGTTCAAGTTACCAATCTAAAAAAGTAAAAGCCTTGACCTTAGCTTGTTTTCGCCTAGGTACTCGGTCATATTTAAATCCTAAGCGTATTAAATACGTATTAAAAAACGCTTTTAGATTTTCTTTTAGGGCATTAACTCCGCCGTTGTACATAAGTGCATAAAGTTGTAAATAAAACTTAATCAAATAATTTTTCAAACAAACTTCAACTAAACTTTTTATCTAAACCTAAAACCTTTTTTATTTAAACGTAAAATAAAAAGCAAGTAAAAGTTGATGGCGACTTTTGATTAGTTTAGATGCGCATTATAAATAAACATCAACTAAAACAAAACGCTTAAATTCTGATAAATGATCTCAAAAACAGCACAACATGAACAATTTAAATGAAGATCAAAAATTTTATTCTTCTGAACCATTAGAAGAAGCTTTAACAAACTCATCCATTACAAGCTCCTCGAAGTAATAAAGTTAGTTTCAACTTATTACCATCCTCTGCACTTACTTCACACAAACCTGACTAAAATGACCGCTCCTAAACAATATATTTTAGCTCGTGCTTTAAATAATTACTTCTCAGTCAATCAATCATCTCTGGCCATTGTAACACAGCACTTCCAGTGGTTATCAAATATAAACAGTAACGATGACAAATTGTATTATGAACATGCTTCGACAATAATCTACAATGATTGTACAATTTTAATTCCTTTATTATTTTATTAATGGGAGAATATTTGAACTAAGACACTCGTACACTTTTTCTCGACACTCTTATCTATAACAATAGTGACTAAATTCAAACAGTTCGTAGAAGCCATTCAATTTCTTATTTCCTTATTTCAAATCGCAACAATGTTAAAAATTAACATGTTTAATAAAACACCTGCTTTACTTACCAATAGTGTTGAACTGAGTGACTAATTATAAAGCTGTACTAAAATACAAAAAGGAGACACTCTGATCAGTGCCGTTAACGGAACCTGATATTTTAAAAGAAAGGAGAGAGAAAATCAACGAAAATGTTAAACTTTGTGAGACATCAGCAATTTTCCTTGTGTACGTACCGAGATAGCTGTAGGATGACTCAGTCGAGTTTTTACAGCAATTCCGTCACAAAATACATTTGCAAACTCTATGGCGCAATATTTTTGACACATAAAACGTATACTAGATAAGAAGGACCTTAGACAATCAGCAATGTGAAGCTGGTTAATAATTTAAGGCAGTTAATTTTGCTCAAATTTCAAATGTACCTTAAGTGTTACCCATTTTTCATCCATCAAACGGGCAAACACAATGTACTCGTACTAAAAGACTTTATAAGGCGTGTTGAGTAATTACTTGAAACACGAGCTTTGCATAAACATAACAAGTATGCAAATGGAAAATTCCTTCCATTCATTCATCATTCATTATGTTACGACATTGTTCACATTTGATACATTCACGATAAATTGAACAACATTTATTACGCTACCAAATCAAGAATGTAATTTAACTTGTATATGAATATTTTTTGGAACAGGAAAAGCATCAAATTAATGTGTCAGTTAAACTGATTTGTTTAATAATTTTAGTCCCATATTCCAGAAAATACTCTCACAATAGCCAGCAGATAAAACTGTCCTATTAATGGCCGGAAATTAGATCAAATTTCCTGTGACGCAATTTTTATATCTGAATACACATGATAAAGTATATGTTTAATTAAAAACATTGTATTTATTGGATATGATCAAGTCTATTTCTAAGACAGTTCGTAGAAGTTGGGAATAAAGTATGTGGAAAAATATTCTAAAGATTACAACAATATCGCTACACATTTTAAAACTATACATACTTAGTTTAATACTAATAACAATAGTATTTTAGGAAAGGTACCATCATAAAATATTTATAAATTTGGTAGTGAAAGGTCTAGTTTTAGACATGTTTTTCGTACTTTAACATAGTCTAAAACTAAATCAATTATTGACTGCGATAAAAACATTATTGAAGACACAGTTGTTTGTTATCATAGATCAGAGGGCCTAGTGTGAGTCAACTCGATAGTGAGCACTGAAATCTTTATTGATTGGTAAAGATTAACGCCGAACGCGCTCGCCATCGAGAGTTAGTGTGATGCAAACTAAACTCGTACTAGGCCTTCTGAACACATCAAAAATATTACTACTGACTTATGTTTAATACTAACACAATATTTATCTTTACTTTTAAAGTAAATAATTCTAATTGTAATATGATAAACGGTAGCCTTGAATAGCTGCTTAAGGAAGATACACAGACATAATTTAATCGAATAATATTTGCTAAAAGAATAAACAGGACAATATCAAATTTTCATATAATGACTTAATCTCGTTTGAGGAATTAATAAATGAGATACAATACAACCTTATACAGATTTGTATGAGTTTCTCAGAATGAACAATTTCGATCTTTCAAAACTTGTAGTAAGCACACGGATCATATGATTTTAGCAACGCACTTTATTTATATAACATGTTCACAATTTTAAACAATTTTAATATTATGAAGAGGAACATTTAGACTTAATATGTTGCGGGAAAAGATATTTACTCCCTTTATCATTGACGGGAAGCATGAGGATGCGAAAATAATAATTAAAAATACTAAAACAGTCATACTTCATGCCTCTATTATATTCAACCAAATTAACCTTAGTAATTAACCAGTCAAACATTTATAGTAAGAAATATTAATGAAGACCTTTGAAGAGAAAGGACCCTAAAGACAGAAAGCATACACCTCATTTTAATAATTAAAGGTCTCGCGTCTGTTAACCTTTTACAGGACGTGTAAATTTTCACAAGACTTGGATTTTGAGATATCATTGATGCAAATCTTCTGCAATAGTTCCCTTGCGATGCTCAAGGATATATGAGTCCGTGAGCTAGCAAGTTTGGATGGTTTCGCTTCCTAGAACAAAAGAAGAATTATACCACCAAATAAACAACCTTAATTCCATTTATTCCTCTTTCATCTTCGCTTAAATAATAATATCTAGAATAAACATTTCCATTACTTTAAAATATTTAAGGACTTTCTGAAGCAGATGGCAAATTTTGCCGGGTTTGACGTTTTGTAAAGGTTAGATAAATTTTCTCATCAATTATTTCTTTTACCGAGGACAGAATATTTTATATTTCTCTAATGTCACAATTTGATTTATTCATGTTTTCTTTGTCTTTTTGTGGGTGTTTATGTGTTAAAGCTGTACTAAATAAAAAATATTTTTTTGATTACCTGTTTTGTTTTCTTAGCATGTTTTTTATCCCTGCTCTCTTTGAGGCGGATCTGTTTAAGAATACCGACTAAAAGTTCGTCGACGTTGTGCTGGATGCCTGATGAAGTTTCGATGAACTTACTATCTCTTGAAGTTGCCAATCCTTTACCCTCTGTGCAAAAAGAGTACATAAATAAATAAAATTTTATATATTTTCCCATTCTGTTTTTATCTTTAAAATGTTTTAACCTGGTATATTAGATTGGGATTAATATTTAACTTAACTGCCATAAAAGTCACCAGATTTGAGTCAATAATTTTTATGTTAAAAATCAATACTAAGTTTACCATTCTTATTGCAATCTGGTTCAACCAGAATGCAATAAAAAATATGACTAGAAATATATCATACATCTAAAATCGGTAGGCAACCCGAGAGTCAATGTCCGCGTGTTCCTACATGCCGACTAAATAGAGTTTTACCCAAAAAGCCTGTGCTCGCGCTATTCCGAACAGGCGCTAAGACGGGTCCGGAGGTCTTAATACATTAATAGCTGTTCCTGGATCACTCCTATTTCAGGCACAGAGTAGCATGCGTGTAGTTTTAGTCGGTTCGATTCCGACACACCGCTCCGCCGTAAACCCCAATAGAGTAATCGGCCCAAGAAGATTTTTACAGGTAAAAAAGTCAAGCTGTGACCGAGTCCTGTTTTAGGTACATATTTTATAGTAACGTAGTAGTTTTAATTTTAAGTATTGCACATATATCTAATATATCCGAGTACTGAAATATATATTCATACGTAAGTTCCATGGTACTCACCATTGGTAGACACCTGCCGAGCTCTGGCCAGATCAGCTTTGTTACCCACGAGTACGACTGTTCTCTCCACCGTAAACTGTTCCCTGGCTAAATATGCCAGAAGTTCTGCGGCTCGGGTAAGCGAGCTCTTTGCAACCACAGAGTATACAACTACACAGGCATGTGGCTCGTATGTTGAGAGGCAGTTTTCAACCTGGGAAACAATACTATATGTTATCATTATTATATCAATAAACAAGCTAATTATTGAAAAAAAAAACAAAAATCCGACTCATTTTCATATATCCAGTGTTCGGAAACATCTAGCCAACACAAAAGATAAACTTTATATAGACTGGGCCACATGTAGATTCATAGACGATATAGAAGTAGTTCGTTGCTTAAATTGTCAGCAATTCGGTCATGTACAAAAGTTTTGCACTATTAAAACCCCTACTTGTGCTAATTGCGCCGCCGCACACGAAACGCGAGCTTGTCCAGATAAAGACACACCAGATTTTAAGCCCACGTGTACACAGTGTAAGCGGTTCAAAAAACCATCTGACCATCGATGCGGCTCATACGACTGTGCCACATACAAATTAAAACTGGAACAGCTGATATTAAATACCAATTACTGAATAGTTTAACTTAGATAAAAAAAAAAAAACAAAAAAAAAAAAAAAAAAAGTTTAAAGAGTAACTTACTAAGTAATGAATAATATTTCGATAGGCCAGTTAAATCTTCATAACGATAAAATAGCTACATCAGAATTAGACCGTTTAATTTTAGAACAAAAGTTAGACATTGTCCTTTTACAAGAACAATATCAGAGCGCTCACTTGCGTCGTAATGTAGTTCAGCTTGACTGCCGTTCGCAGGCTGGGATATATGTTGCAAGTTCTAATTTTACGGTAACATCTTTGCGTAATCTTATGACGTCACACTGCGCCGTTGCTGAGATCTCATCCTCTACCTGTAAGGTTTACGTAGTGAGCTGCTATTTTCAATATTCACATCCTATTGATCCTCACTTACATCACTTACGTTACGTCTTGCAGTTCCTCGTGGGACATAAAATTATCATTGGCGCTGATGTCAATGCGTCATCTTCATTATGGTATGGCAAGTTGCGTTCAACCGACACGGTTCGACGTTGTGCGGTTGAAGATTTCATTGCGGAAATGAATCTTATTATTCACAATACCCCCGATGCACCACCAACTTTTTGCAACCCAATGGGTGAGTCTTCTATTGACGTGACGCTTACGCGCGGCGACGTCTCGATATCCGGATGGCGTGTCCTTCCGGACGCATCCTGTAGTGATCACCGCTTGATCGTGTACGAATTCACACCAAGGGTTGCACAGGATCCACAAAGGGCTCCCTATAATTTTAGATATAAAACTAAAGGTGCGAACTGGGCTTTGTTTGGGTCACTCTTTGCAACTCATACCAAAGACTTCAGTCGCAGTAGTTTATCAGCTGAGGAAAGCGCAGAAATACTATCAGAAACTTTTACATACTGCGCTGATGTAACTATTGGTCGCGGATCTATCACTAACACTCGTAGATGTGATTGGTGGAATGATAGATTAGCCGAACTACGTAGAAGCTACCGGAAAGCTCGTAGAAAATTAAACACTATTAAAAAACATAACGTAACAGGAGATTTGTACAACATTGCTCTCATTGCTCTTAGAGTTGCCAGGTCCCACTACAGAGCTGCTGTGGAAAAATCCAAGGGAAACTTAATTCAGAAACTTGTTAATAAACTCGATAGAGAGGGCCCGTGGTCACCTTTGTATCACGAATTTAAGGCAAATAGATCAATCGACCACGCATACATACAGAACATCAAAATTAATAACAGATATACCACAGGAGTAGAACAAACAGCAGAATATCTTTTAGACTCACTCGTACCTGACGATCGACCGGAAAACGACACTGATCATCACCGACAGATCAGGCAGTGGGCCATCGAACCACCACTGTCTCCAATGTCTGATTTACCATCTTCAGACGAATTTCTCGGTATCATTAGATCCTTGCCGCTAAACAAGGCTTCGGGTGATGATAAAATATCTAACAAAATGATAAAAGAAGCTTGTAAACTTTCGGGTGACACGATTTTCACTGTCTTTAAACGTTGCATTGCTGAAGGAATATTTCCTCGTATATGGCGGTGCGGTAATATTCGTATAATACCAAAAAGTGGCGACAAGCCACCGGATGATCCTAAATCCTACCGACCAATCACATTGTTACCATCGTTAGGAAAGCTTTTAGAACGTCTTGTAGTGCCCCGGCTTCTGCCAGGTGGAGTCAAATTTCATGATAGACAATTTGGATTTACGTTGGGTAAATCGACAACTGACGCTGTTATATCGGTTAGAAAGTTTGTCACAGAGTCAAAATTTCAATACGTGCTGGCTATTTTCTTAGATATATCTGGCGCCTTCGACAACGCATGGTGGCCCATGCTGTTGCTGAAATTAAAATCACGGGGGTGTTTTAAAAATATTTATTCCCTTATCTCTTCGTACTTTTCACAAGGTACAACTAAACTAAGACTTGGTCATCATTCTGTGTCGAAGGCGCTTACAATGGGATGTCCTCAGGGATCGGTGCTAGGTCCATACTTGTGGAATATCGGCTTCGACGATTTTCTTACGATACCAATACCATCCGGATGTACTCTGAACGCGTATGCTGATGACGGCTTATTACTGGTGGAATCTGATACTAGGGCGGGGCTTGAGAGATTAGCCAATAGATGTTTGAACTTGATATCTCAATGGGGTGAACGTAATCGCTTAACTTTTGCACCCAACAAAACCTTCCAATTACTTTTAAAAGGTAACCTCAAATCACCGCCGAGCATTAGATTTGACAATGTTACTGTAAAAAATAAAACCACAGTGTGTTTTCTAGGATTAGTTTTAGAAAGAAACTTTTCATTTATCGAACATATTAAAATAGTTAATGAAAAGTCTAAAAAGAGTTTCTGTGCATTGACAAGGATATCAACTGCGACATGGGGTCTATCATTTAATACATTAAAGATCATATACGGAGCTACTTATTTAGGTTCTATGTGCTATGGTGCACCTGTATGGGCCGATAGGGCAACCGTAGGCGCTGTCCGTCGCAAACTGTTACAAGGCCAACGACTTGCACTGATATTTTTGTGCAAGGCATATAGGACGGTTAGCACTGAGGCTTTGCCGGTGTTGGCGGGTGTCCTTCCGGTCGATCTCGAGGTGCAGAGACGTGCAGCCATGTACTATTCAAGACAAAACATGGAATGCGATTTCTTGGGCGCGCGCGATCGCGGTAAAATTACAAGATTGCTTCAACAGCAGTCCGATGTCTATAATGACCTCATAGACGAATGGCAGCAACGCTGGGACGAATCATCCAAGGGGCGCCATCTTTACCAATTTTTTCCATCTGTTCGCGAACGGTTGTCGAGGACATGGCTTGAGGTGGATCACTGTGTCGCTCAATTTCTTACGGGTCATGGTAACTTTAAGAGCAAGTTGTATTCATTTAAATTAGTCGAGTCACCATTGTGTCAATGCTCAACACCTAACTCTCATTATGAACAGTCTGCTCATCATATCCTCTGGGAATGTAGTCTTTGGTATAATGAACGTAATATAATGCTGAATAGCTTGCAGGTGACATCTGGGGCGGTATACTATGGGGATCTTGTGTCAACTAGGGTGAATTTCCGTGCGTTTAGGCGATTCTGCCATACATATTATAGAAATCAAATATAGCTCATGTAGGACCCGTAATATTTTGTGGCCGTGGTGCTTCCCTGTTTAAAAGGGTGTATGCCTATTTTACTTCATTTTGTCTCCCGCTTTGCTAAGGAGGGAAGTGGATTTACTGTATTTCCAACTCCTCCAATTTTCTTCTGATTAATTTCGTTGCGGGTTCCAAGACAGTTTAATTTCTTCCTGGGACTTCCCGAGTGTCATAACTCGGTGTGTTCGTGGGTCACTGCTGTGGATCCTGGTGTACAGGAGTTACAGTGGTGGGCGTGTGGGTGGGATTAGTCCCAAAAAAAAAAAAAAAAAAAAATCCAGTGTGACTCTCAAAATTAAGACGAATGTAACGAAACCCCCCGAGAAATCGCTCAAGCGATTTTGTCTACAAAGCGTGTCAAACACACTCAACATACACTCGGAAAATGTTACTCTCCTTTTGGCGCATTTGGATGAAAATTACAAAAGGTATGTAAGTTTACTCACTCACATAGAATACTCTATTGCTCTAACTATGTAACGGTTGGAGTCTTTTAAACCCAGATGAAACAATGAGAAATCTTTTCTAATACTCATTATAAATTCCTTGAATATAATAATTTAGAAAGTAAATTTGTTTGTTTAGATGTTTGTTTATTACTGCGTAGTAAATAGCAATTAGGTATCTTTCAGAAAATAGTTTAGTTCCTAAAGGCAAGTAAAATTACTTTTAAGGAGCTTAGCCCCATACAAAACTTATCTTTGGAACTAAGACTTCAGCATAACACGTAAGGATTTATTTGTAAAAAGATTGTACCACGAAAATGACTAAATTACACATACATCGGGGAATATTTGGTCCAAAAAATATAACATTATCGAATTGTAACAATTTCTCAATCCAATTTATTTTAAATTATTAATTACCTTTGGTTTTGCTGTTTACTAATATTACGAACCTAAAAAAAACTGTATAGGTAAGAATCCAGAAAAGTGTCCGTTACGCTACACTAAACTATAATACAAATACATTAAGGTACTGCGCGAGAAGGAAATACTTTTTCTTATTACCCTAACAAGTTCATTTCGTCTTAATTTTGTGGCTTATTTTATAAACTACATAATTTATTTCAAATTGAAATTTTCCAAGGAATTTTTTATCAGACGGGTCTTCTAAAGAGTGACTATGGTCGCCCATGGACCTCTGTGCCTCAAGAGTTAGGACAAATTTTTTTTAAGGTCGTTTTCGTCCGGGAATACCGTACGTAACAATTTGCGTCATAGGTTAGTTATGCAAATCAAAAATTTGCCTCCTTTTTTGGTAATACTAAAACTAGTCAAAAATTCAATCGACATTTTCATCTTCAAAGTATGTTGAATGGTAGTAAAATGAATAATGCAAATAGGTGATCGATGTTGTAAGTTTATTGTGTTTTTGGTAGTTTTTTTTCGCTTTCCAATTGCATACTTACCGACATTTCTGTGCTCGGGTGATCTATAAAGATAAGTTCCGATTCTTCACCATCCAGTAGAACTGACACTGACTTTTCGCCGAATTCATCATCTGTAACAAATTCATTGTGTTATATTTGTTACGACACAATCGAAGTGGTACAAGAATTAGATTTGATGGGTAAGTTCCGATGTATGCCGTATGAAGGTTGAACGTTTATGATATGATATCGCTGACCCGGCAAACGTTGTTCTGCCCTATAAATGATCAAAGAAAGCAAATCGCAATGACAAAATAGGGGTAGGAGTAGGAGGGTTAAAAATACTTTACGACCTATTCTTATACCTACGAAATATAATAGAAAAAACATTAAAATCGTTTAAGCCGTTTTGGAGGAGTGTGACCACAAGCACTAAGATACGAGATATTTATATATTAGATTCTGGTTACACCACACCCTTCCTTATGCAAACTTCAAAAATAAAGATATCGTAACAATGCCACAGCAAAACATAATAGCTATTATGTACAAAATTGATTACAACTACATTTACCTAAATGGCAACCCTTACTACTACATAACATAGTGTCTTTTAAAGCGCATATTTATAATCAAATCAAAACCAGTTTGCGATTTTATGCTATTAAGGAACCTAACATACACCATTTCTGTACTGATGATTAGGATAAAGTGGATAAAAATTACACTAGCTGTACGTTAAGATTGCGATCTGTAGAGTTATATAAGTATTTTTTGAATATTTTGATTACATACCACTTAGCATTTGGTATGTTTGCAAACGTAAGCTCAAATAAATGAAAAAGTTTCCAAATGTGGAACGTATTAAAAATTCGATAGTAATGACTATAGGTCGGATAGTGAAGTACAACTTGTAAGAGGTTAACATTAACGCTACGGACTAGCCGACCGCACCCGACCTCAACCCGATCAAGCATACGTGGGAAAATCGATCACGCTTTGAGAGCAGTAATAGCATCACGTGGGGGATTAACAAAGTATTAAAGTTTGAAAAAATATCTAAAGTTGTAAAAAATAATGAGATTGTTTTTGTCTTTATAAATTTTATAACTATAATAAAAAGTGACAAGTAATATTTCAATTTAGAGAATATTTAATTATCTATTAAACGCGAATCGTTTCACTAAGCTAACATTCTTAGTGCCCGAGATTAGGTATTTTTAAGATAAAGATATATTTATGTGACCCGGATTCATTTATTAGTATTTATATATAAATAAATAAATACAATATACGATTGGAATATGATCTCTGGGTGACCAGTAGTGTGTATACTGAAAATGACACTGAATACATTAAATAAGATCTTAGAAAAAGAGTCTCTGAATTAAAATTTCACGTTTCATTCCGTTCAATGTGTCATGTGAATGTTCAATATCTGTTATATGAAAAAGGAATTCAACGAATGCAATTAAAACTATACAAATTCCGACATTACTAAAATTTTATCGTATTCTCAGGATGTCATAAAAGGGAGAGGGCTGAATCTGAATTCCAGTAATTCCTTCAAACTATTTAAAAATTCCTTACATGCGAAGACTCTAGTTAACGTTCTGAACGATTGATTTTTTCTTCAAAATCATACTTTAGGGCAATAGCGTTATGTAATCAGTTCTTGGAAGGTGTCGCTAACATTTGCATAGCAAGTGTCAGCGACACAATCCATGGCATAAGCCTATGACACCCTGTGACGGCGGGAGGTAAGACATATATAACGAAACAAAAGGACATAAGGTGGCGACATAAAGTTTTTTACATGGACTTCACATGGACTTAGGAAGAAGCCACTACAAGCCTTATCGTGGGAGGTGTTCACATGGCAGGTAACGTGCAATAATGTGCGGCCTATATGGCGCTCCTAGGCGTCGACTCTAATAACCCGCAATCCCGTCATACTAAAGCGTCCACAATGAGCGATGGCCCTTCAGAGTCATCAGGGAATACCGCACGGCACTCGTAATTAGCTGAAATCGTAAATATATTTAAATACCCATTGAAACAAAACATATTATGATACTTTGGGGAGTACTGTTAGGGACACTGTAGGTATTTCTAAGATAGATAATTAATTCTCTACTAAATAAATGTATTGGCAGAAGATCGTATTCCACTATAGTACGCATTTAAAGTTGCTATTTAATTAACATTTATTTATTTAGTTATTGGGTGTTAAAACTTGCCTGAACCAAAACAGTTAATAGTACATTACATGAATTAGACCAAGTCTTAAATCCTGTATTACAAACACCTATTATATGACTGCACGGATGGCGTAGTGGTTTAAGCGGTCGCCACGCCGCTTCCACTACGCCGAGTGTCTTGGGTTCAAACCCCACATGGGACAACACTTTGTGTGATCCACAAATTGTTGTTCTGAGCCTGGGTGTTCGTTGTGTCCGTTTCATGTATGTTTGTAAAGTCCTCGCGACACAGGATTTATTCCTAATGCGGGAGTTGTATTTTTTAAAGGAAAGGAAAATATTGTTATTGTACTCGACGAAAGGAGGACCTGCAACTTCTAAACACATTATATTGAACTTAATAACACATAATAATCTATTAGTAGAAGAAGATGAGTTCCGACAAAATTATTGAACAAGTTGGTCATTTATCCCATAAAACTACAAACTACGATAAAAAGATCCTCGTCCATTCTACGATTTATAAATGGTGTTATGAACAAGGATTTTTAGTCTACAAATGTAGTGTTAATATCTTTCTGTTCCTTTTTTGAAAAACTGTTTTTTGCTTAAGGTATTTAATTAAACTTCGATCATGATAAGTTAGGAAACGGTCAAAAAAACAGTGCGAATGTGGCAAAAAAAGTTAATAAATTTTAATAGATTTTAACGCCAACCTATCCAGATTGCTACCTAAAAAAAATAGAAGCTTAAAATCAAAGACAATTGCCAATTACAGTTCTTAATTTAAATGACGTTCACAACATACAATAAGAACAAACACTACAACAATAAGTAAGGAGTGAACAATACGTGTAATAGGGTAACAACACTTACCACGTTTAGCTTCGCCATAGTAAGCAGCAAAAAGAAGGAACGTTATTTACAGAAGAGCTAGCAGCCACACATGTGCTTAAACTGTACGCTAGATTCAGGATGAGAGCGGATTTAGCGGATTTGTATTAAATAAGGTCATCAAATCGTCTGATCTAATGAAATAGGTTTGAGTATATTGCGCTTATAAAGAAAATATTTTTGATGTGAAACCTTCTTTAGGCGCGTTGGACATTTTTGAACAACAAACAAAAGAATGTATTTTATGTTTATGGAAAAAACCATTGAACTCTCGACACTGTCACCGTTACCGACACCTCTATATATAAGTAGATATCTATATATATTGGCCCCGTTTACACGAGAGTTGAGTTTGGGTTGAAATACATTGATAAATAACATAACTATATATAATACAAACATTTATTGTTTATATACGTACAGCATACATATATATTTATGTCGGAACTTTTCGAATCGAAAAAAAGCCTGTTATAATTTAAAAAAAAATATCATGCCCACTTTTTCAAGTTTTTACTTTTGTCGGAACTCCTGGAGTGCCACTGTTTTTTTATGGTAAAATGGGCAACGAAAAGACGTGTCACCTGATGGTAAGCTATTACCGCCGCCCATTGACACCTGCAACTCATGAGTCACATGTGCTTTCCTCTCTTTGAGTCCTTCCCCCTAAAGGGGAATTGGAGTTTGGGGTCTGGTCGTCAGGTAACCTCAGTCACTTGATGAAAAGCAATGAAAAAATATCTTAGGGCCGGTTTTCTATATCACTATTAGACATATTTCATCATTCCAATCCTTTATTCTTTAGTATTCAGTACTATAAATATGTACGTTATATGGATGTGATTCTGGTTTTTAACCGACCTCAAAAAGGAGGATGTTATAAATTCCGTCATATATGGACGGATTTTCTACATTCTTTTTTTGTTCGAAAGGGGTTTATGCCGAAATGGTCCCATTTAAATTTCATATAGATCTGATGATGAGTTTCGGAGACAGACAACGGCATTAAAATGAACCGCGATTGCTAGGTTTTTAGTGCTCTTTGTTACTGTTGTTAGAAGTGTATTCAACTTTTTATAAAGTATTTTTATGTAGAAGTTTTCACACCATTTTTAACTTTTTCTAAATATTATTGAATGTTGTTTGCACCTAGAGCTATAGTAGATGGCGTGGTCGAGATTCAGAATCCTTTTTTTAAATTTATAATTAAAATTGTTATCCTGAACCAATTATCTCATGTTAGTAATTACTGTATTCTTGTTAGACTTCATTTAAAATGTAATGATGGTTGTAATAATGAATACGCTTATAAGTAATGCGTATACAACGAAATGTAAAGCATTAAAAATTGTTTTGTATTTTATATGTTCGTGAGGTAACGAGTATAAGCAATGTTAGTCAATGACTTTTGTTTAATTTTGTTACTTAGGATACAACTGTATGGGCAGAAAGCAAAATATGGCTTTTGACAATGAAACCGTACGTTATTTATAGTTTGTAATCCTATCATGAATTGACTGTATGGATGGCCTATTGGTTTAAGCGGTCACCATGCCGTTTCCTACTGCCCTGGGTATTGTGGGTTCTGTCTCCACATGGGACACCACTTTGTGTGATCCACAAATTGTTGTTCTGGGTCTGGATGTTCTTTGTGTCCGTTTCAAGAATGTTTGTAAAGTCCCCCGCAACACAGGACATATATTCCTAATGCCTAAGTTGTTTTTTTAAAAAGAAATACATATTAATCCGGTTGAAAGACAGATTGGGGCTTATCCCACCCAGAATTACTAAGGATCAAGAAAGACAAATAATCTTTTAAAATCCTAATATTTCAAAATATTAATCAGATTAACTTTATTAATAAAGAACAACTGGAAAATAATCACAAATTAATGTTAAATTAAATTAAAAGAAAGAATGAGAATATTTTCATATGTTACTCAATATAAATCCTTTAAAATGAGTTTCTTTAGAAATTTGTAATTCTAAATCTTAAACAGCCAAAATCCATGACCCTGTTATTAATTCACACATTT